GGTTGGAACTAGACATAAGGTTGGGGGTAGCCATAAGGCTGGAACCGGGCATAAGGAAGGCATATCAACTCGTGATGGGTGATGTCACGAGGGCTTGTGTAGCCGTTGTTGTGAGTTCTCTTCTTGTGACGTGAGTTGTCACAAAGGCATGTGTTGTCATTGGTTGTGTCCTTATTCTCTTGAGTTGTGCATGTCGGGTGTTAATCTATTGTGTGATGATAGATTATACATTGAGCCGTCCTTGTGAGTTGTTGTTGTCCTTTGTGGTCTTGGGATGTGTTCCCTTATCTTCTTGTGAGTGCTTCGAGTCTTGTGTTGACTTTTGCTCTTGGTTTTGAACTTATATATGTATTTCGTTTCGCAAATGACTTTACAACTATATATCTTATCTATGTATGATATTTCACATGTATTGGTGGGTTACCAGCATTATTCGCTGACCGGGCGTCATCCCATCTTTTATGTGTTTCTTTCAGGTGATGTTTAGACGAGAGCGCGGTATAGTGCCAACTAGTGTAGCTCCTTTCGTATGTTCTGTGGCCTGTGAGCCCAGTTTAGACTTAGTACGTTGAACATGTATGGTTTTAGATGTTGAATTATGCAGATGTTAGCCTGTGCGTTCATCTATAGATGAGCGTGGCATAGCACCCCTTTTACTTCCAGTTTATATATTCCTCTTTCAGTCTTCAGCTGTGTTTGATGTTTGATTAGATATCTACATATTTAAGGCTTTAAATTGCTTGGAAAATTAGGGGGTGTTACATGCAGTGGTGAACATTCTTGGCGTCAAACAAGGGGATACGACAGGGAAGTATTTGGGGTTGCCGTCGTTGTTGGGAAGAACAAGAAGGCAATTTTGGGGTTCGCTAAGGACCGCATTCTTGCACGGGTTCGCGGATTGAATACCTGTTTCTTATCTAGGGCTGGCCGTGAAGTGTTATTGAAAAATGTACTGCAAGCGTTGCCTTGTTATGCCATGATGGTCTTTTCTTTGCCTATAACCTTGTGTAGGGAAGTTGATGTTATTCTAAACCAATATTGGTGGACTGGTAAGGTAGCGGGGAGCACAGGGATACGGTGGAGGGCGTGGAAGGCGTGTTTGCACCAAAAACAAAAGGCGGCTTGGGGTTCAGGACTATACGGGAGATGAACCTTGCACTTCTAGGCAAGAAGGCTTGGCGCCTACTAACAAGGCCGGATTCGCTGGTCACACGGGTATTTAAGAGCAGGTACTTTATGAACGCAGATGTCGGGAATAACCCGTCTTATATTTGTCGCTGTATTGTTGAGGCCAATAACGCAGTGAAACAGTGGTACCGGCGAAGCATTGGGGACGGAAGATCAACTACGATTGGGAAAGTCCCGTGGCTAATATTGGCTGAGGATCCGTATGTGAGTTCACAGCTACATGAATCAGTAAGTGGAGCACCGGTGAGCTCTTTGATGAATATGGCTGGGTCTGGTTAGGACCGAGACTGTGCGTTAGATGTGTTCAATGCCAGGGATGCGAACTACATCCTCAATATTCCGGTAAGCTCTAGACCCCCTAAGGATGCATGGGTTTGGAAAGGGGATTCCAAGGTGGCATACATTGTGAAGTCATGTTATAGATTGCTTGTAGGGAGGTTCAAACTGATCGACCTTGGAATCTGATTTGGCAACTTCAGGTTCCACCAAAGGTCGGATCTTCGCTTGGCAGCTAGCAACATCGGTTCTCCCAACAAGAGAGGCTTTGTCCACAAGACGAGTTGCATGTATGGTACACTGCCATATGTGTAGGGGCACAGATGAAACGACTGCACATCTATTCCGGGACTGTCTGCATGCTCGGGCGATCTGGGCTTCGCTCCAACTACCTACATTGGTGCATGACCAAGGTAATATCATTGACTGGTTTTTCAACTATTGTTGTGCCTAAAGGATGACTCCCAAAGAAAGTTTGTAATGTTGTGTTGGGCGCTATGGATGAGCAGAAACACAAGTGTATGGCGGGGTGAGCAATTCGCCAGGCATACTGTGTTGCGTGACACTTTGAACTATTGGCATAATTGGAAGGAGGTGCAGCTGGAGAGCAATGGTAGCATTGATGCAAGGACTGGCGAGGAAAAATGGGAACCACCGGATGCAGGAAGGCTGAAGCTAAACACCGATGTCGCCTTTGACTCTGTTCATAACACAATGGGGTTGGGGTGGGTGTTGCGTGACGATGGTGGGCGTTTCTTGGCTGCAAAAAGTATTCGGATTCAAGGCCAGTACACAGTTGTTGAAGTTGAGGTGCTGTGTATGCGTGAGGCATTATCTTGGTTACGTGATACGGGTATGGGGGAAGTAGATGTAGAAATAGATTCCCAGTTATGTTTTAATGCGCTGAGGTCTGAGTCTTTCTTTTCTGCGTTTGGTTTTTTAATTGATGATGTAAAACAAGTTGCATCAATGATGAATGGGGTAAGTTATGCTTATGTTAGGCGATTTGCGAACCGTGCGGTCCATGCACAAGGGAAGCCGTTTCTGTGTCAGGTCCTGGGGAGTGGTTAGATGTACCACCTAACTATTTGGTCCCCTTTTTTACTAAGATTTAATGAATCCAGTTCTCTTTTCCAAAAAAAAAAAAAAAAAAAAAAAGATGTGAAAGACATAAAGTGAATGTGAATTTTAGAATTAATAAATAATACTCTCTGTATCTCATTTTATCCTTTTTTTTTATTTATTAATTAATTAAACTAACTATTTTTGTGTTTTCAAAAAAAAAAAAAAAAGAAAAACAAACTATTTTTATTACATATATTATGAATTTCCTCCGTATTAAGAAAATTTTATTTCCTAGAGCAGAAAATATCATTCTTTAAGTTTATAAGCACTGTTTTTAGTCCAAGTATAGCTACTAAGGGTCAACGGTTCTGACCAACGATTTTTTATTTTTTATTTTATTTTTGGATTTTAAAAGAATATTGGTTTTTCATTTATTCTTTGAAAAAGTGTCAAATTGTCCCTTAAGTCAAACAGATATTGCAATTGAGTCATCTAAGTAAAAAAAAAAAAAAAAAAACTCCATTTAAACCTCAAACTATAAAAAGGTTCAATTAGGTCCAAAATTACCTGTTTGGTAGGTTAATGTCTTCTAATGCTGACATGTGTCTCTTTTTTTTTATTTTTGATTATATTATTTTTTTTTTAACTCTCACTGCGGGAAATTATGAAATTTCCGACCACTTGAAATTGATCTTAAATCAAGTCGAAAGCAAAAAGTGCTCGAAAATAGCAACAAAGATTTTTCCGGATACCAAAAGTGGTCGGAACAAGGCTTTCAACTTGATTTAAGATCAGTTTCAAGTGGTCGGAAATTCCATAATTTCCAGCAGTGTCTTCATACAGCCACCGGCTAAAGACAGCCGGTGGCTGTACACATTCAAGGACAGCCATGGCGGTCCGGCGATAGCCACGACGGTAGAAAATGATGGTCGTAGCTATCCGGCAGCCATGGTTGTCCTAAAAGACGGCCATAACTGTCTTTAAAAAGAATTCAAAAATTTAAAAAATTTGACTTAAAGAGCCAATTTGACACTTTATCCTTTATTCTTTGTTTGAAAGTAGGCAAGTATTTAAACGAGTTTTTTTTTTTTTTTTTTTTTCGATTGGCGCATAAACGTGTTTGGGCTAGTATTCACCTAACATTGGTAAAAATATTTGGGTTTGTCATTTATTTTTAGGAAAAGCGTTAAATGGATCCTTCAACTATAAGCAAAAAGTAATTTGTCACAAGAGATCAATGATCAAGTCTCACCCGTGATAGTGTTGGTGCAACCTCTCAATACAAATGAAGGGATCCTTGTGCGCACTGAGCAAAAGTCTAACCTCTGTTAATCAGTTAAGTCATGATCATGATTTATCCCTCCACAATCCTATCTGGTCGGGGTGTAGGAGCGCATGAGGTGGACAGTTACACCTTTTTGTCACAGTTATAGAGCATAAAGTAATTATGCTCATAAATTATAAAAATTGAAATTAAACACATCAATTCATTTTGATACAATTTAGCCGATAGCTTCTTAAATTAGTACAACTAGATCAATTGACATGTAACTCAAGATAATAACATGTAAAATACTCTAATATGCATTTTTCTAAAAACAATTTTGAATTATTTTTTTTTTGAACTTTTCGTTCAATATATGGCCACAACTTCACTCATGTCAGTGTTCGAATCTGAATCAGCACTAGAAACAGTTACTCAAAATGCAACTCCTTTGTCTTTCTTTTAGTTCTTATCTTCTTCGTCTAATTCCATTTCATATGCAACTCATGTCAGTGTTCGAATGTGTTTATTGTTTTATTGACATGATTTAATAATACTAATTTCAGAATAATATATTTAAAGAATTTGTTTCTTGATTAATTATTTATTAATAGAGTTTAGATAGAATTTTAGATGTATTTTTTATACAATATTTATATTTTGATACAACTTTTTAAACAACTATTATTTATATATAGAAATTACTTCAAAAAAGACCCCAAATTAAGATATTATTGGAACGGTCCTGCTTCTAGCACATGCAATGGCAGAGAGATTCTTCGTACATCTTTTGTATGAACTAAAAATCTGGATGGAGACATGGAGTAATGTAGTCCTAAATTGTGGGTGGTAATAATGTTACTTCTGTTATGGTGTTTTGTTTTTTTGTGGTCAACAATATGACAATTCACATGCGTACGGAACCAAACAATTTACTTCTTTTTTGATACATTAGTCCCCACAACCCTCGCCCGTCACCTCTTGGACTAGTCTCGATCGATCTGTTACTGGAGTGGTGACTTTAAATCAGATGATTTACCACTTAACCTCGCCTCGTGAGACAGAAAATTTATTTCATTTATAAATTATCTAGTCAATGTAATTTAAAGTTTCAATTGTGTGAATTCTAATTAATTTAAAATTACATAGAGCTGATTTAACTAAAATAAAATTATTAATGGATATCATTTTTTTAATAGAGGTTATATGAAATTCGTTCCAATCATTTTATATTTTATAATAAATATTTTTATCGCATTTTAAAATTATTTAAGTTTTCGTCCCATACATAACACTCCAAAAACCATAGCATAATAACAATTGTTACATCCCCATAGCAGAAGTAGAAGACGAGGGGGCAGTAATATTTGGGTAAGTATATAACCCACTTAGCAAACCCTTAGCAATCCACCTATATGCTGCCTGTGTCAAGTGCGCACCATCCCATTCAATATAAGATGAAGGATCATTGCAGGCATGTGAGGATGGGTACCCACATTTTGCATCGTCGTTCACATTGTATGGACCTCCACTTCCGCAACAGGCAATAAGTCCAGTTTCATTATTAAAACCTATAAAAAGAATAACATTATTTTGTATATAATACTTCCAAAATTTTGATTTGAAGAGTAGTTGAGGAGTGGTACTAACCATATTTTTCGGGGGAGAGAAAGAGTTGTAATCCAGCATTGTAATAATCAGCATAAGTAATAAAAACATTAGGATAATGCTGTTGAATCCGTGTTAACTCTTTTCGAAGCAATTCATTATGTTTCTGTGCAAATTCGTTGAGCCAAGTGAGACAATCGGTAATCGGATCATAATCTTCTTCATTTGAACCATAATAAACTGTTAATGAAACTCCCATGCACCCATCTGGCAACATCCCAGGCACCATGAGGTTTACAACACCTAGCTTAATTAGTTCCTGCATGGCATGCATCATCACCTCAAATATATAATTTATTCTTTTCAGCCGTAAAATATTCATCAATACGTGCATAAATAATTGATAAAACATGACAATATTTAAAAGGCATGAAATGATTTGATTACTTCTGATATCGCTCTTTTTAACTCAAGATTTTTTTTTTTTTTTTTGAAAGCTACTGGCTCTATTACATTGTAGTATCTGTTCATATACTTTCTCAACCTACTGAAACACAAAGAACCAATAACGCCTCTGAGGCTCGAATTCATAATCTTCCAAATGGAAGTCCAACCCGGATACCATTAGACCACATAGTCCAACTCAAGATTTAATATTTCGTAGAGCAAATTCCACTTTTGATCCTATGACTATAGATGTGTTGTTAATTTTAGTACTTGACTTTAAAAACTAACAATTTAGCCCCATGACTATGCAATTTTTAACACATTTGGTCCTCCCGGTCAATTCATCGAAAAAATGTAAATCATTTGTAATTATTTAATCATAAGGACAAATTGGTCATTTCAAATCATTTCTTCCTCTTCCTTCCGGCTCCCTTCTTCTTCCTTAGCAGCGAAAGTCGGAAAAAAAAAATCACACCGCCACCTCCCAGTATCCATTAACGGCGGCATGTATGAAATGCAATCCCCTACAAGGAACAACACCATATATATATATATATATATATATATATATATATATATATATATATATATATACACCTTGCTGCTATCAGTTTTTCCATCACGAATACCACCAAATCAGTGATATGATATTAAAATAAATTGAGAGGTGTAAATGTGTAATAATGTGGATTATACAAGATTAATTAATTAATTAACCAGTATCCTTCTTTATGGGTATGTAGGTTATCGTAATCGTAGTCCTGGTCGTAGTACCTCTTGGATCTTGATCTATCCATGTCCTTATCTCCAAATTCGACAAAAGTTACTCTCAAATTCTCAATCCAAGCATTCCTCATTCACAAATTTCACAAAATCTGAAAATTTAGGGTTTCCTCTAATCGAACATCCGTGAGAGAAAAATCATAATGTCTTTCCTAAATTTCTGTAAATTCGTGTGAGAATGTTCAAACCCTACCAGAAAATTTCAGAGTTCAACACATCATTTGGGCAATGAAGAAAACACTTCGGCCAAGATATTGTGGAGAACAAAGAATGATACTGGACAAAGAAGGATATTGATATCTCCGGCCGTCGCTGCAAAGTAAGAAGAAGAACGAAGGAGGGAGCACGAAGGAAGAAGAAGAAATGATTTGAAATGACCGATTTGTCCTTATGATTAAATAATTACAAATAGTTTATACTTTTTCGGCGATATTTGGCCGGTAAATTGGGTGGGAGGACCGAATGTGTTAAAAATTACATAATCATAGGACTAAATTGTTAGTTTTTAAAGTCAAGTACTAAAATTAACAAGACATCTATAGTCATAGGACCAAAAGTGTAATTTGCTCTATTTCTTATTCAATGCTCATGTGACATATTTACATTGATACTACTCCACCAAAAGTACACAATGCACTACTCAATACCCTACTATGCACGTCACTATTAAAATCACCCATGTATCACCAAATCTAATCAAAAGCATACTCTAATGAACTGTAAAAAATAAAATAAAAAATAAAAAATAAAAAATAAAAGACATGAAACCATGCTAAGCAATCAGCACTGGCGTCGAAAAAATCAAAAGAGAAGTTGATCGGGATGAAATTAATGGCTGATAATTTTTCACGTGGAAACTCCTATGCACCTGATTGTGAGAGGGTTATCTCACCTACTAAATCCTCTTTAAGTTCCTAATTAATAGTATATGGCTGACCTCAATTGCAGATGCAACAGCGTTAATAACCAGAGGCCGGAGGCGAAGAGCATCCTCAACCCTCTTACTCAAAATGGCAGAAGCATAATCGTCGCCTCCAAAAGGCCCAAAAACTATTAATGATTTCTCGAATATTTCGTCACAACCTGCAAGAAAAAGCTAAGATTAGTCTTTCAAAGCTGGGAATCAAATTAAAGGTGAGATAAAGTTAAAGTTACTTGAGGTTTTGCAGATAGATGGGAGCAGGCTTTTGAACATGTTGATCTGAGACATCATCGAGATATTGTCGCGAGAGTAACTCCCGTTTGCCTCAAGGACATCATCTCTCAGAGCTGGAGCTCCAACCACCGCGAAGTTCACACCTCCTCCAGGATTTGCATTTCCGCCACCGCTATACGGCGGCAGAAGTGGAAGCCCATAGTGCTCCGCTGCAAGTGGAAATTAAGCTAAAACATCTAAACCACCATATAGTATAAATGATTGCCGACAACAGATTAAAAAGAAGAGAGCTGAGTATGAACCAATGAAATCTATGATCAGACGGCCGTCGGAGCAGCGGCCGGTGGGATGGTGGAAGAATGTTTCCCCGTAAGGAAGAACGCTGCAACTGGGAATCCCATCATACTGTAAAACTCCGTCGGAGGTTAAAGAAATATAGTTTCCGGTGTCGGAGAGGGAATCGCCAAAAGCAAAAATGGAAGTGTAGAATCCATCAACAAATTGTGAAGAAGCCAACGCCGTCAGCAGAAGAGCGCAGGCCACTATTGAAAGTGACATTTTTTATATTTTTTTTTAAGGCAGAGGGAGCTTATTAGTGCAGTGAGCAATGGATATTTATAGTGCAATTGTTTCTTAAATTTTGGTATTTGGTATACAATGTGAACTAAAAATAGTAATTATATGCTGCAACGTACATATTATGGCCTTTGCAGCCTGCTGCACTCCGAAAATATCCTAGAGCAAAACATATCATTTTTTAAGATTATATTGGGTTTGAAATGGTAAGAAATTATGAATATAAAGATCAATATGTCTTTAATATTATATTATATATATATATATATATATATATATATATATATATATATATATATGTGTGTGTGTGTGTGTGTAATTAATAAACTTTAATGAGAGATAAAATTATCCAATTGTGTTATACTTTCTTTTCAAATCTTTTAAAAAAATAAAATATCAATCTTTTGCTTAATTAGATTTTGTTTTCCTTCACTTTTAGGAATCCAGATTTTAGTTCCGGTAAGCATGTGAATTGTCATATTGTTGACCACAAAAAAACAAAGCACCTTAACAGAAATTTCATTATTACCAAGCATGTGAATTGTCATATTGTTGACCACAAAAAAACAAAGCACCTTAACAGAAATTTCATTATTACCACCCATAATTTAGGAAAATGGTACATATACTCCATCCAGATTTTTAAAACATACAAATGATGTACGAAGATTCTCTCTGCTATATGCTGGAACTAACATTGACTTTGTTGGGTGTATGTTGATCAGGTCGACTGAGTTTAGCCATGTTCGATTCAAGACATGACGTTGTGATTTATCATACATTAATGTGGTTAAATAGTTAATGTCTACTATACATACTTCACCAATTAATTTTAAGAAAGATAAGTCAACTAGATAAATAAAGAAATTCGTGATTAAACATGCCCTTGACTTACAAGATGTACGACCATTAGTGAGCCCATGATGATACACAGCCCCACATGCCACACTATAACATGTTTGATTTAAGTCCTAAATCCTAACTCAGATGGTGAATTAATAATACTTTATTTTACTCTACCTCTATCCTAATTCTTGAATACTAGGCTACAAGTTATTTGACTATGATGATGCTTTCACCAACCGTCTAAAAAAAAAACTACTTGAATGCACAATTATTTCAGCACTGTGACTTCTAAGAATGCACTGCACCTACTACTCGAATGCACCAAATTATTAGATGAATGTACCGAAATTACTACACGAATGTACCAAAATTACTGCACGAATGCATAAAAAACAATTCCAAGCATGCCTAAAAACATGGTTGAAATAGGCGCTAGGCGCTAGTCGGGCGGTAGAGTAGCGCCTAGCGCCTAGACGGCCTAGGCGGCTAACTGAAAAAAAAAAGAAAAACAGTGCACGTGTGTAGGTGCATATATGTAATATTACACACACACACACACACACACACACACACACACACACACACACACACACACACACACACACACACACATATATATATATCAATGAAAAAAATTAGCAAGGTCGAGTCGGTCGGGTTAATTCAGCTAACTCGACAAAAATTGACGAGTTTCTTTTTTTTTTTTTTTTTTTTTTTTTTTTCAAAAGAGAATGCTTTATATCATCAAAAGAACCCAAACGGTCTTACAAAGAATCACTTGGCCCAAAAGTGACCAATCTAAACACAAGGGACCAACTAAAGTCCTCCAAAGAAGCCCTACACAATAAAGGCAGAAAGCCTACCTAACGAGTTAACTCGGCGTAATTGGCCGAGTTAGGCGCTAGGCGGCCGAGTTAGGCGCTAGGCGGCCGGTTTCCTAGGCGGGAGCCTAGGGGGAAAATCGTCATGGCCTAGGGGCGCCTAGCGCCTAGACGCCGATTACTCAGTACCTAGGCGGGAGTTTTATAACCCTACCTAAAAATAGTTATTGTGTATTCATGTAGAACTAACCGTGCATTCTTTAAAGAGTTCGCAAGTTTGTATGGGAACACCGGTTACCCAAAACTAAGCATCTTATTATTGTGTCAGCCCATTAATGAAAGATCATGTCAAAAATTGACAATATATCTCAATATCCATCAATTATGCCTTCTCCATACACCTACCGCTAATTTCAATTATTGTTTGGTGGGAGAATTAATTGCATTCTGGCACACTTGGTTGGTGCAATTTCTTATACTAAGCTAGTTATTTATTGTGCAATTTATTATACTAGTTTAGTAGTTGATGTGCAATTTCGTAAATTACTTATTGTGCAGTTTGTTATACATGCAAGTTGACCACTTGAAGTGCAATTTGTGAAATTATTCATGGTATAAATTCTTTTAAATTAGAAAGAGTTAGAGAAAGTGTTGGTTTTTCGTTAGCTAAAAAAAAAAAAAACATATTTATAAAGAAAGTGAAAGATTGTATGATTCACCCAAATTCTACATATTAAAGTTTTATATTAATTAATTCATAGAAATGACTTCTTTTTTTTTTTTTGGGATCAGATAGCGCCTTCGCATGAGGGCTCCAAATGCACCCAAAAAAAAAAAATAGAAATGATTTTTTTTTCTTTCTTATTTTTTATTCCATTGTTCATAAGTAGGAGACACTAGTACAGGATTGAACATAGAAGATTGACCATAGGTCACCATTGTTGAAAGAATGGTTGCCTAATCTTAGTCTAAAAATTTGTGGTGGCAATTTTGTAAATAAGTGATCAATAATTTGCCACCGTTGTTAGCTGTAATTGTTGCCCATTGTATTTTTTATTTATTTTTTAAAAAAAATCGATTTATAATAGGCAACTGTTTCTAATAGAGTTCATCGTTTGAAACTTTGAAATGTTATTTTTATTTTTTTACACTTCATCATTTTTTTTCTATAGACTTCTTTTTGCTCTAGATTGTAATATCTCTACCTTCACTCTCTTTTCAAGTATTCTTTTGCATTAAAAAAAAATGAGGGTTTTAGAGGGATGAATAAAAACAAGGCTCGAGAGGAAGAAGCAAGATTGTCATTCATGTGGACATGGTCATACATGTAATAATATGTGAAACGACCACTTACCTGCATGTTGAAACTGGCAGAGATCCTGATTTACACCCCTGGGCTATATGTGTGTGTGTCTTTTCCATTATAACTGTTTGAATTATTTTTCAAGTTATAATATATTGGTGAATTTGAAATTACAGGTAAAGTTTAATAAATCTCAATCTAGTTGTGGGCAAGCTCTAAGATCAAGATCACTTAAAGCCGAACCTATATTTGTATTTTGTAAGAGTCTTTAGTAATCATTTTTTGACAGTTTTGCATGTATATAGAGTTGTAATATATATTACTTGCTTTTACAGGTTTCGTAAGAGATGATTAACACCAAATTGACGAACTAATTTGAGTTTCCAACAACTAAGTAAATAAAATTGTTCACAAGTAAAGTTCCCTTGCCCTTCCATTGAATTATACTTAGGGTGTGTTTGGTTGGTGGGTTTTGCCCATAGGAATGGGTATGAAAGTGATTGTTGTTGTTTGGTTAATAGGTTTTTAGAACACTACTATGGGTTTCGAATACCCCATCAATTAAAAAACCCATACCCAAATACAATAAGGGTTTAATTCCCTTATTCATTCTTAACCACTACTATTAGTAACCATTCCCATTCCACCCTACTACCAAACATGTTAAATACTTTCACCAAAACCCATTACCATTACCAAGTATTTGATACCCATTCCGATTCCGATTCCTATGTGCGAACCAAACACACCCTTACAGATTTTGTTTGTTTCAATTGACTTTGCAGGTACTATACTTGTTATTGTTCTGTCACTTTGATGAACTGCAACTCATCATGTGCTTTGAGTTTTCAACTTGCAAAATAAGTAATTTAGATCATGATTTAATGTAACTTGACTGTTTAATTACATATAATTGTGATTTTAATTGTGATTTTCTTTATTGAATTAAAAGCAGGTTTTTATATTTTTTATGTGATCGAGTATAGTTTTTATATCTCGTGCCTAGTGAAGTATAAAATATGCAATATGAAAAAGCTCTTTATCTTGTTATCCTTGCATTTCTTTTCTGTAGGTTGCTTCAATTAAGTGCTGAAAATTTCATTTCAATTGTTTTTTAGCTCTCTAGAATGCTAAACTTTCTGCTGTGCATGTTGGTTTCAGTCATTTAATTCACAACCATATGTGTTTTTAGCTCTCTAGGATCATAAAACTAGAAGATTGCAGCGAGCTTTGGCTTCGAGCACAAGCTATTTGGCTTGTGTTTAGTACCGTTAATACTTCAATACAAGCTATTCTTGTGTTTATTTTCTTTGCTGTTACTAAACATTTTTAGTTTTTTGAGCTTGAATGGTGAATAGTTTGGGTTTTCTTGTATTCATGTATTCCTGTATGTGGGTGGATATTTTTGTTCAATAACTTTGTTCATCAGAGTACAAAATCTTGATTTTATTTTGAAGTGAACTTAGACATTTGATTTTGGTTTTATGAATGAAAAAATTTTAATTTGGGCAAGTGATTAATTATGCAATACTTCTCTTATTACTGCATTTTTTGCATAGAAGACTTTAATGACTCATTAGCTAGATAATACTGCAGCTCTTGTTATACATTGATTGGAATTCTATGCTTTATCAAATAGCACATTAGATTTTGTATAGGATTTTAAATAAAAATTTAGGAGGTTTTAAAATCATTAATTTATTAAAAATTACTTTTAAAATAAATATAATTTTAATTTTTTTATTTTTTAAAATAGTATCTGCGACTATTCTTATACAAAGAATAGTCACAGAAAGTTGATTTAAAAAAAAAAAAAAAAAAAAAACAATACGTGACCATTCCTATCCAAAAATGATTGCGTATTACATTTGAATAAAAAAAAAAACAATACGCAACTATTATTGGTCAAGAATGGTCGCGTATTACTGACAATGCGCGACCATTTAAAAATGGTCGCGTAAAGTCCATGGCTTTCCGCGAGCCTCGCATAGGCAACCATTGTACAATGGTCGCCGATTTGCAGTTTTGTACTAGTGAGATGAGAAGGGTAATGTGCTTTATAATTACTAAATGA